TTGTGTTTCAGAGATGACAGAAAAGAAAAAAAAAACTTCTTATGTGTGTCTGGTTCAACCCAAACGGTAGCTGCAGAAGGTTCTGGATCACAGGCGAGCCCAAGGCTGCAAATCCAAACGACTGGCTGTGTAATACAGCTGCAGAGAGCAACAGCCAGGAGTGAAATGTTAATCAGAGCTTCAGGAGAGCCTCAGACACCCCAGACTTGGTGTCACTCCGGCACCTCATCAAACAGGAAATTGCTTTTCCAGGGTCATCTGGGATCTTGGCACAAATCAGCGCGTCATCAGCATAATAATGGCAACTAAAATGATGCCTTTGCATGGTGGTGCCTGAGGGGCACCACCGCACACTGCGTTCTGTGAGCAAAATATTCAAGGTGAAGCCAACAGCATTTTAGTTTCCTGATGAAAAGACCTAGGAAAAATAAAATTCGGGCACTTCCTTTCCCTATGGTGAACAATGTGCTGGTGACACCTCTCACGCATAAGCATCCCTCTCCTCTGCTCAGCCACTATGCGAGTCTGAGGTTTGGGGAGGCTCCAGTGTGTGACAAAACAAAAGCCATGCTTCTGTGCCTGCAGTCCCCCAGCAAGACGTGTCTTAACACTGTTGCTGATAAAGATGCCTATAAACAAGGTGGTGGGCATGGGGGTCAATGGTGATGGCAACACAGAGTGTTTCCAAGGTGCAGGTGAGCTCAGTGGGTCTGTGGGCTGGAGGAGCACCCTGGGCAGCTCCTATGGCCCCACGAGCCACCTGAGACCTCTGTGGCCACTCATCCCTCCCTGAGCTGAGTCTCCTGCCTGATCCGAATGTGAAGGGTCCTATTTCTCCATCTCGCAGTGGACCCCACTGTGCTCCCCAGTTACATCCATTTTGCCCGCTGATCCAGCGAGTCGGTTAAGCCGCAGCTCTCTCTGCATCTTCATCTCTGCCACAAACTGTGCCACCAGCGTGTCTTATTAGCAAGACTGTCGCATCAGCAAAGGTATGCCATGGCGTGAGCTTGTCAGAAAAAGCACGGGGAACCAAAACCTGAGGAGGTATGCCTTGTACCTTGGGCTTCTTGGAGCAACCTGTTAATTCCTTGCTTGTTTGCTAATGATGACAGATGACCAAAGAACAGGAGAAAGCTAGCGAGCGTGGTGCAGCACAACACAGTGGAGGCAGTGCCGGTCCAACATGCTGGGGAGGAACGTGTGGTGGCTGCTGGCCACTGATTTGTTTTCTCGAGTGCTTGACGTCCCCTCAGGCACTGTGGCAGGATTTGAAGCATGTTTCCTAGATCCTTGCGGCTAAGCTAGAAATAATGCATTTATAAGATCAGAGGCAGTTCACTACTTGAGTTAAGTGCCTTGAAAAGGCTGAGTCACTTGTAGAGAGAGGTGAGCTATCCGGGGATCCGGGTTTCCTTCTGAAAACACCTTTTGTTATTGCTGCAGACACTGCTAGTGCTCTGCCTACAAGGAAGCTGCTGCTTTCTTGCTGGCTTTGAGCACACTCATCCTGCCATGGCCTCTGTGGGTTGGATTGTATGTTCCTTCCCTTAAAATAATTAACAGAATTCTGGGCACGCTTGCCAAGCATTAAGGGGCAGAAGGTGCTATTGAGATTTGGGAAATTAGGCCTGATCTGAGACTCATTAAAGCTGGTGGTAGTCTGTCTTCTGACTTCAGTGGATCACACTTACAGAATATAGCATTCTGTATCTCACCTTACTCAAATTTAAGCCCAGATAGTCAAGAAGATTTTTCTAGAGGCGCCAATATCCCTGTTAGGTTAGGTCCTATGGAAAATCAGGGATTTAGCTTTACCTTTACCTATTGAAGGCTTGTGGGTTAGGCAGCAGTGTGATGGTTATGTTATAGTGGCTCCTTTCATAACCTCTGCAGGGGTTATGGGACACAGTGCTGGGGAGGGTTCAGGTGGGGGTAGATGCCTGAGTCTCCTGCCTGTGCCTCAGTGGGTGTCACCCAGTCTGATATTGTCAGCGTACAACATGGGGCAATTTTTTTAAAATGGAGCGTAAATGTAAATGTGTCGGAAGTGTGGACATCTACCTTCCCTTTGCTGAGCTTCACCCCTCCTCCCTGATCCAGGGAAGCCCCTTAGTTCCTGCAGGTCTTGGATAAGGTCAACAGGTTCCACCAATGGACGAATCAAGAAGTAATTGCTGCAAATCTTAATGTGGGTTTTCAGCACTCTAAGCTTGAGGTGACTTGAAAGGTCCTACGTCCCTGCCCAGTGCCAGCCTGCCTTCTGGCTGTGCCAGAAGTTTGGTATTTGCAGCTGGAGCTGTTTGATTGTCTCTTCCCGGCAGGTAATAACATCACTAATTAGTTTCCTAATTTGTGCTGTCCAAATGTACTTGAATTTCTAGGTATTAAAGCCTGCATGAAACCCGACACATTGGTGAATGCAAGTGGAAGTAGGACTGGATATGTTAAAAATGTTGTTGATATGTTATAAAAAATGAGCTGGGGTCGAGGAGTACCTCAGGTGGATCCTGTTGTGGGTGGCATTGTGGGCGCTGCGATGCTTCGTTACTGTCCTGGTAATAGATTTAGAAGTCACTGACTGTTCTCAATGATAAACACGTCTTCAGGCTGTTCCAGCCACAGAACCGAGAGGAGCGGTTTTGGGGAAAATCAAACCAAAGATGATAGTTTAAGTTAGATAGATGATGGTTCAGTCACCTTGGATGTGAGACTCTCTTAGATCCTTACATTGTGCAACCATTGGGCACAACAGTGTATGTAGGTATGGCTTGACCTCGTAAAAGTCATGAGCATCATGTGCATCATTGGGTCAGGTTTATGTTGGGGAATGGCTTTCTGATGGAAAGAACTTAAAATATCATATATTGAACAGAACTGTGATATGGGAGTTGGCAAAGGTTGACAGCTCGATGAAGCGAAAATACTGTGGCAATGGAAGAAAATGCACGTGGTGAATATGAGTGTGTGTGCTGTGTAGTCATATACTGCCACATAATGTGACCCAAGAGATGCTGTGACAAAAGGAGTTTGGGGTAAGAAATCAGATGGTTTTTCTCATGGGGGAGAGGGGCTGTGGGGAAGGTCAGGCAGAAGGTGGGCTGGCGTGGGGTGAATGCTGCCAGGTTGGCTCTGGAGCTGGCTCCTGAGGCAGCAGAGTGTGCGAGGAAGGCATGTGCCTTAGGATCTGTGATGGAGATCCATGCTTTTCACCCAGGGACTGAGTCAGGATGCTGCTGTACTTGCAGCCTTCATCCTGCTCCCCATGTGGTGCTTCCCTCGTCCTTTGCTCATTAAATGTGTGGGGTTAAACACAGAGGGGTTGCTTTGCCAGCTCCTGAAACGCAGAGACCTTTGACGTGAAATCGGGCGTCCTATTGCCATATTTTCCGTGGAAAGCCAAAAAAAGGATATTAAGTTGAATTGTATTATGTAGCATCGGAGGTGCAGGACTTCCCCAGCCTGCCACCTGCTCCTGCATGCCACGCACGTCCCGCTGCCTTCACTGGGAGTGGTCAACAGGAACAGGAGCGGAGACAAAGTGCCTCGGGAAAAACTTTTAATACCATTACCTGATGTCAGTTTTAGCACTTGGCTTGTTAGGTGAGAGCCGAGTGGCCTGCCATTAGCAGGAGCCGGTCTGTGCTGCTGGCCAGCCAGGCAAGAGGTGCTGTGCTGCTCCCGGCAGGGGGACGGGGCTTTTCCCTGAGTGCCTCCTCGGGTTCAGTCCGAGCCCTCTGGTTCATCTGCGCTTGGTGGGAATTGTGCTTTTCCATTTGCAGCTGAGTAGCCGTGAACTGGTTGGGTGTCCCAGCAGCCCTAGCCTCAGTTTCCCCAGAGCTGTTGATAGCTTTGCTGGGGATGGGTACCTCGTGTGCTGGCCCATCTGCTGATGAGCCTGGTTCTTTGGGTCAATTCAGGCTGTGACTGTGTCTCAGAGCTTTTTTCTTTATTGTCTACCCAGTCCTTTAGTCTCTGATTTCTGTAATCTAATATTTGGGGCATCAGTAAAGATATTTAAGCTTTTTGTTATGATTGCAATACCAGTGCAGCTCCTTTTCCTTTTGGGAATGGGCTGTGACCATCCGATCTAGGCTTGGTTTTGAACTGTTTGGCTATTTGGGATGAAGAACTAGCTCTGCACTCCTGCATGAACCTGAGATGAGGCAGATGGATCGATGCCCTGCCTGGACTGGCTGGTGTGTTTTCAGTCTCCAGAGTTGTTTCATTGTGTGTATTTTGCATCTGAGAATAACAGCATCTCGGAGCCAGGTCATGCTAGGGGGGAGAGGTTATTTTAAGCTGTCACGTCTGAGGAGCAGTGATGTCAGCTCTCCAGCTCTTTTTTTTAATTACTAGTTTTAAGCATCATTAAGTAAAAGTAAAAGAAATAACGGCTGAACAGCTATATTGATGTGAAGCTATGGCTGTGGCACAGCCTGATGAACAGCAGGGGCACAGTTAAGCTGTGCCGTGGTCTCTGGGTAGAACAGGCTGGCTGCTGAGGGGATGTCTCCTCTGAATTGCCTTCCTGTGACCCAGGAATGCATTAACCATCTTGTGCCTGAACTTCCCAAGTGGCTGGTGTGGTCCTTGGGGTCTGGGAAGGAAAGAGGATGTCTTCTCCAATGGGTCCCTGTTTTGTACATTAATAAGGATGTGAGGTTGGCAAGATCGGAACCACCAGGAACCGTTCAAAATGGAGCAGGTAGAAACTACTGACCTTGTATTCATTCCTCCTTATAGGTCCTCTTTGCATGACTGCTGAAAAGCTGGTGAAGGATCAGTGATTAAAGAACGATCTTCACCTGGGGATAGTATTCTTTCTTGTTTCTGCTCAGCATGAGGTACCACCAGATGGTTCTTGGTTGCACTTTAGAGCATGACTAAAATTTATTTTTCAGGCACTTAGACAAATGGGATTTATTTAATTTCTCTTCCTGCTCTTCCCTTCCCCTCCAAGCTCTGTTGTGAATTTCCGTGTTCCCTTTTCCCTGCAGAATGAAGTGGAGCTGGGAGAGCTGCTGTTGTCACTAAACTACCTACCCAGCGCAGGAAGACTGAACGTGGACATCATTAGAGCAAAACAGCTTCTTCAGACAGACATGAGCCAAGGTTCAGGTAAAGGGCAGTGCATTTCTCACATTACTCATGCACAGATTATATGTGCTTTTAAAGCAGATCAGCGGTGAGACTGCAATTTGTGGGGGACCCAGAGGGATTTGGATGCTTAGTTCCTATTAATACAAGGCTCCGGATACTCATTTTATATATATAGCCAACAATAACAAAAGTATTTGGAACACTTACCGTGAGATAAGAGTTTGCCATATTTAAAGTAAAAATCTCTGAACCAGGTTGAGGTGAGGAACCAGGAGCTCTAAATTACCCCCGTGTTGTGTTCTGTAAGGCAGCCCGTTTGTGGCTGCGCTGTGTTTTGCAGATGCTGCATGCTGCCTGAGTGTTAATGTTGCAGCGGTTTCATTTACGCTATCTAGCTGCTCTGTGGATGGTGTGAGGTTTTTCCAGTGTCCGTGCATTGCTTTCTGCCGTTTCTGAGCGTGCTGGCTGGTAATTGCTTCATGCGTATGTATGTCCTCAGGTGTTTTTTCCATGTTCCCTGCCTCAGCTACTGCTGCTGCCAGAATATTGGCATTTTCCAAAAAGAACAGTATGCTTGGCTTCTATCAAGGCTGTCATTAATCGTGGTTTTGGCAGGGAGTGTTTTTAATCCAGCTGCCTGACTTTTGTCTCCACTGCAAATCCCTGGGAGCGGTGTGGTGGTACAAGTCCCAGTCATTTCCGAATGCCGTTTTCCAGCATGGTCCATCCCTGCGGTGCCCAACCTTCAGGAACCGGGGTACTGACTCACAATGCCCATAACGCAGAGCCTGTGTTTTGTGGTTCTTGTCAGATCCCTTTGTGAAAATTCAGCTTGTTCATGGATTAAAATTAACAAAAACCAAGAAGACCTCCTGCATGCGGGGGACGATAGATCCCTTCTACAATGAATCCTTCAGCTTCAAGGTTCCACAGGAAGAACTGGAGAACGCCAGCCTAGTGTTCACAGGTAAATGTGGTGGTGTTACCAACTTGGCACGGCCGTGGTTGCCTCCAAGGTGAACGAAGAAGCAGTTGTGGGTGTGCAGATGAGCCTGTGCAGGATGGTGTCTCTCCCAGTAGCCACCCCAGGTCACCCTGGTGACCATCGCTGTGGTCTCCAGGGAAGCTTAATTAGCACTCTGTCCTCTGCAGAAGCTGTTCCCAGCATTGCCACCTGATGGCTGGAGGTGGCTGGGAGCGCACCTCATCGGTCCTGTGCTTAATTGGTGCCATTGGGAATGCCTTTGTGCAGAGGAGGAGGAGGCATTAATTGCACTTCTCAGCGGCAACCAACTTGGGCATAAAGTCAAAAATTAGAATGAGAGGGAAGTATTGAATGATCCTAGAGTCCAAACACTGGCAAAGATAACTTCTGGTACTTGACATAATTTGCTGGTGAGATGATGCAGCTATAGGTGTTTGGCACTGACATCACCTGTTCTGTAAGCAGGTTTGTTCATGCCTTTATTTTTAAAGGGCTGGGACTCTGTGCCAAGCCCTGCGTGGCACGGCTGAGATAGACCAAGACACAGACCATGCAGGCTGTGGGCCAGGAGGAGTCCCAGAGCTAACCTCACGTGAGAGCTTTGTCAGCACTGGAGATGCTTGGCTGGGATAGGAATTCTTATTTTTAAACAATTTCTGGATCTCCTATTTTTGTTCTCTAGGCACGAAAACAGTCAGTAGAAATTGGCAATTGGGCGTGTTGCTTGGAGCAGGAGTAGCAGAGCGTAGGGATGAGTCCCCAGCTGTGCTCTTGCCTGCAGACTGGGCAGCAGCAGTGGGGCTGATCTGAGGCCATGGACCCACTGTGGCTGGTGGCCTTTCCTGCCGTTCCACAGCGTGGAGGTCTTGGGCAGGGCTGCAGGAACCCCTAGGAAGTGGTGGGTTTCCCTCCCATGCCATGATTTCACCCAACCTACGTGTGCTGTGGAGCTCGGGCACCATCAAGGGCAGGGTCATACCTTCTTGCCCTCTGGAGGAGCAGAGGGGCTGGGCAGTGGGACCCACACTCTTCTGCCACACTGGGCTCCCATGCTTCACAAACACGTTTTTTGGCAGCTTTCCACACATTACTCACCATCTTTCGATGAAGAGAAAGGAATCTGCATCTGAAAGAAGATATTTTGAAGTATTTTTTAATTTTATTTCTTACATGGCAGATACAGGTGTCAAAGCTGGTACAAGGAGCCTAATTCCAACCCATTAGTTTGTTTCCAAACATGTTATAACAAAAGTGATGCTGATCAGCAATTTAAATTTTGCCCTTCATGCTCAGAAATTTCCTCAGCAAAAAGTCTATAATTAATCACTGCTTTGCATGCACATCACCCTGACTGTACCGTGCATGTGCAGTGATGAATTTGTTCTTGGAAGCTTCCATCAGGTGATCTTGTGACAAGCGTGAAATACTCTTTTCTTTGTTTTCCCCTTTTCCTAATAGAAGAAGGAAAGGCAAACAGAGTAGCAGCTCTGTGCAGTCAGAAGGGTGAGGGGAATACACTGCTCCTCACCACGGCTGATGAAGTTAGCATTAATGAGTGGATGTCTGATTATTTTTTTCTGTGCAAATGGATGTATTCTCAAATAAGTCAATGGGAAGTTAGCTGATTTATAATCATATGTAATGCAGTCGTATTTCAGTGGCATGCCTTTTAAGTGGTGCTTCACTTTCTAAGTGACATGTTGCTTGCTTTGAATGTTGCAATAAATAATCCCAGGCCAGAAATGTCACCAGCAACTCCAAAGCTGGGAAGGAGCGTGCAGAGCTTTTCGGAGGAGCAGCGGGGCCAGGTTCTCGTGGCTGCTCTCGGACTGAAGGGTGACGTGCGGCTTGGGCATGGCACTGCTGTGGGCGTCGGGCTTGCTGCTTTTGCTGTGGTTGGGACTCTGTTGTTTGAGAGATGTGGTTCATGTAGCCAATATATAGCTGGAGCCAGAGGTGTTGGTCACGTTGTTGTGTGTACAGTCTTCTGCTGGTTCGGTGCCTGCACTGCCTCCCGTTGTTAGAGGAGCCAAGAGCCCATCTTGTTGCGAGGACCTTTGAATTGGGACTCCTGCACAGGCATCTGCGGTGTCACGGGACTGAGGTGGTTCAGGGGACATAGTGGTGGTGAAGATGCTGAGCCACGTTCAGTGTTCACGTAAGTGATGGAGATGCTCCAGATGTTGGTGGAAGCGTGTTCCTAACAGGGAGTGCAGCACCAGTTTCTTCGTGTGTGCATCGATGAGGTTTTAATAAAATGAGTGTCAGCGTGCAGCTTGGCTGAAGTTCTGGGATGGGGATGGTAGTATTCCCCGTATAGCTGCCTTCTTGGCATGTTAGGATATTGCGCAGCTTAAAAGCTTGTAAAGGGCTTTGGGATCTTCTGTTAAAAGACAATAAAGAGCAAATGGTTGCCAGCATGGAGAAGCTGTACCTCGCAATGTGAGGATCCTTTTATTATTTTGCATCTCTATAAAGCAGGAGCATAAGCCGCATTTTTTTCTCTAGGTTTTTTGTTTTTACTTGGGTTTTTTTTTGGCTGCAGTGGTGGTTCTTTCTGTTGTGTGTTTTGTGGGAGTTGTTTTTTATTTCTTTTTTTTTTCTTCAATCCACAGCTCTAGTCCATTAGGTCAGTTAATTAAATTTGCTGTTGAGTCAAAGCCCAATCGAAAAGGAAAATAATCCTGCTTGAAGGGTGGGTGACGATGCTTTGAATGGAGAGAGAGCTGTAAAAGCAGTCATGGGAGCCAGAAGTGAGTATATCTTCAATAATTTAAAGGAACTTTTTTTGTGGCTTCATATTTTGGACCCAGTCTGCAGCTGTCTTTATATTGGCTTGGCTTCACTGGAAAGCAGTGGAGCCGTGCCAGTCCCTGTCAGCTGAGGCTCCTGGCTCCCTCTGTGTGGATGGTACCACACTGCAAAGTAAGGCACTATCTAGACAAAGTAAGATTAATTTTTTTTTTCCCTGTGTGTTTTTCTACTGTGTATCTTGAATCAAACTGTCTGGGTTTAGTGCACTGTAGCAAGAATTTATGCACCGTTTTGCTGTGACTTTAGCAAGGACTGTGTGCGCAAACACTGCGGATGGATGGTTTTCTGTAAAGCACCATTCTGCTCCCTGCTTTCCTGGTGGTGCTCTGGAGAGCTGGACTTTGGACCGAACGCAGGGTTGAAGTGCAGCCGGACTGGGAGACAGGCAGTGGTGCCTCTGAGATGGGGTGCCCAGGGTGAGCTCTGCCTTAGCCAAGATTTGGGGAGCGGTTGGGCTGCTTCTTAGAACTTTCCTCCTCCTTAGGCATACTAGGATTCAACACTGTAAATTATTGGCATTTACAGACCGAAATGCTTCTCCTTCCACATTGGTGCAGGACACCTTGTACAAGCTGTCTTTCTGCCTTCCCCTATATTCCTACTTCAGATGCTTACTGGAGCTGTCACTAACTCACATGTCCCAGTTTAGTGCCTAAAATGAGGTGAGATGAGCTCAGGTGGAGATGTCCTCTCCAGGAGGAGGCATCCAGGGTCAGGATTGCTGCTGCAAGTATCTTCCATTCACAGCTTCTCACCAAAAGAGGCTAAAACCAGGAAAGCAACTGATACTCATAACAAGTCTAATGTCCGGACAGAAAAAAGATGATGAGTGAGGCAACAGCTAGTGGAGAAGATGTTTGATTTTCATTTATTCCATCAAACATGTTGTCTAGGTAATGAGCATCCGTATACATACTGTAACAGAAATGCACTTTTTTGGGTGGTTCTTTTTTCCACTTTTTGGTTTTTGGCAACTTGACACACATCCCTCATGTGCCATCTTCTGCTCAAGTGCAAGCAAGTCATGGGTTCACCTCTTGCAGAGAAATGGGGCAGGCTTTAAAAGACAGTATGTTCTCCTAACCATGTATGCCTGTGAACAAAGGTGTTAATTATTCTTTGTCCTATGGTAAGGAGACTTAGGTCCGAGGTCACTTCCAAGCAGAAAAAAGGATATTTGAGGTTCGACTGCAGCCTCTGTGCTCGGGAGGGCTGGGTGCTGGGTGCCTAGAGACACCACGCTCTCCCCGCTGATGGATTTTGGGCAGGCTGTCCTCTAAATCCCAGCCTAATCTTTGGAAAGCCTGGGCTGTGCAGCAGGAGGTGAGGCGACACCTGAAATCCGAGCACTGTGGTATTGTGTTAATGATTATAATGTTGTTAATAACAATCGTCAGTAATGCTGTTTGTGTTGCAGTAAAGCCCAGATGGCCCAATAAAAACCACCAGTGCTCCAGGGCAATCCGCATCTTGGTGACTCGTTAACATCTTTTGATCACTTACCATAAAAAATACAACCTTCAGCACTCAGTTAGGCAATATATTTCTCCCCGAGGTCCTGTCGTGACTGTGTGTGTCTTTCTCCATCTAAATAAGCTCTTGTACATGTTTACATGACAGGATCTTTAGGGCTTGTGAAGCAGGCAGGGTCCCCAAAGAGGGGAGAAATAATTTTCGTGCTGTGGGTACCGTCTGTGCAAATGCAGAGGGAAAACCCGCTTTGCCGTCTGACTTGGCCGAGAGCATAGCTGGAGCTGGGGCAAGCATTGGGGCTGATGGAGAGCGGTGGTGGGGCTTGTCCCAGTGCACCGTTCCCATGTGAAAGGTGGCCATGGCTCCAGCAGGACAGGGTGCTCTGCCCAGGAGAGGGAGGTGGGCCAGGGCAGGGTTTGCTTGTTGATGGAGAGGTGTCCTCGATACGTGTGTGGCAGCTGGTGAGATCTTCATCATAAGTACTGGCTGAGGAGGCAGCTCACAGGCACTCTCTTCTGAACCATTCACAGGATTTTTATACAATTCTCTTCACTCTTCAGTATGTTTTAAACATGGACCATGCCTCTGTTTTCTGTAATGATTTAGGACTTTTTTAAAAATTTATTTTGTAAGTATTAGAGTTCCTGAGGGAATGTTGTTGCACAGTGAGACTTTGCACACCTATACCCGTGGTT